CTAATTTATATTAGTTTCAAATATATTAAAGTTTTTATTACGTAATGTGTATTTATAAAAATAATAATAATAATAATTGCGTGTGGATGGGATAGCTGAGAAATATATATTTTATTTTCTTCCGAAATTTTTTTATTTTAATTATGAAAAATATGAGACAGGCTTGGGTTGAGAATAAATTAGCTATATAACTAATAAAATTAAAGAGACTAAATATTAAAAAAATAAATATTAAAAAATAAAAATATAAGTAATAATAAGTCTTTTTACGGCGTGTGTGTATATATATATGAGATAGGATATTGTGACAACCAAATAATGTTACTACCACATCTTAACCGTTGATTTCCGCCAATCAGCGATTATCATTTATTGCGAATTAATAATTAATTAATGAGTTTGATTTGAAAAATGATAACCGTTGATTGAAGGAAATCAACAGTTAAGATGTGGTAGTAACATTATTTGGTTGTCACAATATCCTATATATCCCTATATATATAGAGAGAGAGAGATGAGGGATATTCTCACTGCCAAAGTTTTCCACCACCAACTTACTACCTATCTAATCACCATTAGATTAACATTTTCTCTTTCTTCAAAAACTTTTTAACATTCTCTCTCTTTGATCCAATGGTGATGTGATAGGTAGTAAGCTAGTAGTAAGAATTTTTGGTAGTTAAAATATCCTCACTCATATATATATATATATATATATATATATATATATATATATATATGGTTATACTTACTACTGAAAATTTTTATAACTCTTACTACTAAATTAATCATCATTGTTCACAAAAAAAAAAATTAACCATCATTAATTTCCACCAATTTAATGGTTATAGTTTATTGAGTACACTTATTAATTAATTTTTAATTACCAATAAATTATAAAGTGTTATGATTCTTCCCTGATTTATGAGAATCAAATAGGATTAGTTCCCATGATTAATTAAGATGGATTTTATAATTATTTAGCCTTCCTTTTATCGGTATATACCGTAATCGAACATATTTGATAAATCAATAAAAATAAAGCATTCTTCTATATATCACATGGATTTCACTGTTGTTAGTTGATTACCTTTATTTTAAAAAGTGATTTCTCAGAACCCCATTGCTTGCAGCAGTTTATCTTGAATTAAGTTAAAAGGTTTTTTTTTCACATGTACCCAAAAAAAAAAGTTAGAAGTTTTTGGAAAAAGAAAAAGGACAGTAAAATTTTATCACAGTGTACTATGCATACTGACATTTGGTGGAAAAAAGGAAGAACAACATATTTCGAATAAAAATGCAACAACAGTCTTTAACATATTTCTATTCTTTATAAATTCTGTGGAAAAAACAAATTATGAAAAGAAAAATGAGATATAAATTCGGAAAACACTTTTAACTCACAACATAAAGAATTTGCCAAAATAATTTATATGTGTCAAAATCAGTGACAAGGGCTCAGCCAAAATTCAATATATCATCTTGAGAAAATAACTAGCAATTACTTTTTACTTCCCGACTAAATCGTTTGGAAAATGTTAAGATTTATCGAGTGACTCTGCAAAGTCAAGAACCAGTTACACCCTGGTCGAGGTACTGGGTCACTGAATCACCGGTTTAATCAGTGGATCACTGGTTCAACTGCATGACCCGGTAAGTATATGTAAATCTACAATTTATATAAAAAAAGTTATAAATATACTTAAATACTTGTAAAAATATATACCAATTTCAAATATTTTAATATGAAAATAATAAATTACACATAATTGTCCAACAAAAGATCAATCAAACATATAATATTTGTGATACTAGTGTTTCAAGTTCAGTAAACGTCATCTCTAACTATAAATCAAATCAAAATTCCCTGCATATTACATAATCAAGATAATATTAGTGTTGTAAGTACATAATCTATGTAAGTTAATAAGCTACAAATCACTCAAATATTTCAAAAGAAAACAAACTATTTCAACATTCCCGACACGTGGTCAACGCTCCGACATGTTTTTTTTTTTAGTCTTGATTTTATTTTATTAATTAAAAATAAAAAAATCATTTATAAATCAATTTTTTTCTGTTACGAAATTTGACATAAAAAGTTAACAAGGTATGGTTTTTTTTTTATATTTATGTTATGAAATTTGAATATTTGACTGATTATATGACTTATTATGGACTGTTATATGTATTAAATATAAATTATATTATATATATTAAAAATATTATTTATATCAAAATGTGTCTCAAAGTGTTGAAATATGCCATTTTTTAGAATTAACGTGTCAGAGTATCGTGTCCCGTGTCTGGTGTCAGTGCTTGTGTATGATAGTTCATATATATACTAGTGAATTACCCGTGCGATGCGCGGGGGAAAAAGAACAAAATCGTTGTCGCCGTCGTTGGTGTGTCGTCTTACTGGTAAATCCACATGTTGATCTTGATATGAAACTCTTAATAATAATATCATAATAAAAAATAATTGTATTGTTATAATTTTTAACTTGAAAAGGCTGTAGCATTCAGAAAGATAAAAAAGTAAAATAAAATTTTGCCGATGAAACGTTTAATTGTATCGAGTAACCTTCACGTCCAATTGCAAAAGTGATAAATAGAATAATGTCAATGTAAAAACAATTTAAATGTCATAATGTCAAAACTGCTCACAATTAATAATTCAGAAATAACATGATACAATTCGGTGTTCCAGCAAAATATCTCTGACATAAGCCTGCTAACTTTAAAAGAAATAAAAACAGTATATGTTAGCATAACATATGATTTAGCGAATAAAGAACAGAAGCAAAATATCTCTCCCATGCGCCAACTGAGCTATCACCATTTGGTTGCATTGAGTATTTTGGATTGTTGATTTCTGTGTTTTTCTGTTTGAATTTTAATAACAGGGATGGGATATAATATAATTGTGATTCTCTGACATGTTTGAAGCCAATTAGGGATAGACATGCATAAAGAGAAAGAAATGAGAGTATTGTTTATTTGTTATTAATTTATTTTTTACTTAGTTTTATCAAGGTATATCATTGTCTTTTAGTGACCTTTTTTTTCTAACCTTGTCTCTTGCACATTAAAAAAAAAAAATTTGATGCACAAGATTTTCCAACTTGTAATAATAGCGATGATGATCAATTGTACGTAATAAGGAGAATATTTTCCAGATTCAAATCTGTGATCTTTTGATTACAAAAAATAACTTTACTAAGACTCCCTTTCCTCTTTCACATCTAAATTGATCAAATATTGCACACCACTTTGCATTTCATTTGCCTATGTTTTTATTATTAAGTTGTTAGATAGTTAATAACACTTTGAAGTTTTTCACTGCTAAAAGTCAACATATAATGTCTAAATCCTAACGTGTAGCAATTTGGGTCAACACGGGGGATAACAATGATGATAAATACACAAATAAATACATAGATGTATACATTTGTATGTTGGCATAACCAATGTATGTGAGACGGGCATAGACTATGATGCACGGACACTGACCCGGGAAACGACACGACACGACACGCCAACACGTTTGTTATGGGCCAGAGAAAGGCCCACAGTAGCAAGAAGCCCAACCAACATCAGCCCAGAGGTAAACTCTATAAATAGGACTAAAGACCACAGGTATGACTGATCTCTCGAACCCTATTTCATTCAAACACGACAGTGCACACACACACCCCCTCTGGTTAAGGCCATCATATAGTGTGGAGCGATCTGCTATCCCCAAGATACCTAATTCATAAGTATCTAGAGAGAAAACCCTAGATCCAATATCAAAGACCCGACCGTAGGTCAGACAGATCTGCTCAAGGCAGAACAACGTTAATTCTAAAAAATGGCAAATTTCGACACGTTGGGACACGTTTTGATATTAAATAATATTTTTAATATATATAATATAATTTATATTTAATACATATAACAGTTCATAATAAGTCATATAACCACTCAAATATTCAAATTTCATAACATAAATATAAAAAAAAAAAAATCGTACCTTGTTAATTTTTCATGTCAAATTTCATAACAGAAAAAAATTGATTTATAAATAATTTTTTTTTATTTTTAGTTAATAAAATAAAATTAAGACTAAAAAAAAACCGTGTCGGAGCGTTGACCACGTGTTGAAAAAAATTGACTGCATGTCGAAAAGTTAACCATGTGTCCCAAAATATTGACAGCGTGTTGAACACGTGTCGGTGTCCAACACGCATATTTAAAAAAAAAAGGCGTGTCGGGGTATTGTAGGGCATAGAGTGCAAAAGATATATAGCGATTGAATTCGTGACATTCAATTCTAGAATGAATATGTTTGATTAATTAAGATTTAATAATCATGATCTTTCCAACTTAATGCAAGAATGAAAACTTAATCCTCTAGCTGGACATCTAACTGGAATACTAAAGATATTATAATACATGATAAAAATATAAAGAATGAAATACATTATTCATATATGATTCATGAGAGTCATTGCTTCCCCAATATATAGAGGCATCAAGACAATTTGGTGGAACACATGTTGTCATGGTATAATGTATGACAACTTAAAGAGTACCTACAATTCGGCTAAATAGCTCGCTCGTCAAGGCACTCAAATGATGGAAAGGAATGACTGGATAATACGGTAGGATTGTAGCGCCAAAAAGCAACTATGTTAACCGTTAACTTTCAAAATTTTCAGGACAGATTTTTTAAGAAGCAAGCAGAAATATAAGCAGGAATATAACATCCTTCATAAAATAATTCTAAGCTTTTGGAGCAAATGTGTGAATTAACAGCTATGATCTTGAAAAATACACTTAAAATGACATTATCAACTACTTAAAAAAAAATAAAAAAAATCCAAGTGAATCATTTGTATAGGACCATAAAAATCAAAGTCAGTATCGAAGTCCAAGTTTCCGTTAAAAGATTGAGTTCATTGGACTAGGAACTTTTGAATTAAACAGCACCATTCCATTCAACGGAACCAGTGAGTCTATAAATTACGTTGATCATTGGTTGAGTTGTTTAAGTTCTGTGCAAGATCCAATTGAAGAGTTGCAGAATAAGACAACTCTGGCACATACAGAGCAACAGGAGTGTCCAATCCTCTAATCATCCCACCAGATGAAGAGGATCTAAAAGCACTGACGTTATTAACTTGTTGAGTTGGCTTAGAGCTGATTTTGTTCAGACTTCGTCTATAATACTGCAGCAATTGCAAAAACAAATAAAGTTATGTGAATGACAAAACTTTGGTTTTATGAAATTAAAGCAGAAAGGAAAAGAAAAACACACCTGAAGATGGCTGGCCACATTCGCCCTAGTAAGCTCCTCAACGTTCATCACTTGAAGAACTTGTTTAGTTACAGCCTCTTCAATCAAAATAACACAATTCAGTAACAGAAAACTCATGACACTGCGTTAAGACTTAATTATAATGGCATGATATTTACTCCAGTGGCATTTATGATAAAGAAGAGTACTAGAAAAAGTATTCAAAATAATGTTGAACAAAATTTTCATGTCATGATCTTTTTAGCATTGGATTGCTATTAGCTACTCAAATATTCAATAAAAGTATTGCTAAAATAAAGTAGAAACATCAATTGTTTGACCTCTTCTAGCAATTGATATCAATTAAGATAACAACTGTTTTGCATTGTGAGAGAGTGAATAACTTACTGTCAACACCTCCTAACTGATTAACAGCGGCCAAAAAACTCTGGTGCAGCTCCTCCGTCCAAATAACCCGATGCTTCTTTTGTGTTGAAGGGTGCTCCATGTTATGACCAGGCTCTTTATAGTCGTTATTCTCATTTTCTTCCTGCTTCTTAGAATTTATCTTTTCTTCCTGCTTCTTAGAATTAATCTTCTTTCTGAATACATGCTGCCAAATATTCTGCAGCTCTTCAATTCTAATTGGTTTCTGCAAATAATCACATGCTCCCAGATTAACTGCTTCCATCGTCAACTTTCTGTCATAATCATTGGAGCACACTGAAATAAAAAATTTAATAACGTCAAAGGATCATCAAACAACAAAATGAAGCTTTTGAGATATATAAAACCATTAATGTAGCCTCACCCAACAACTTAAACTTTTGAGTTGAATTGGTTCTTTACAAACCTTAAATTATAATACCATGAGAAAATCTTTCTAAGATCACTTTTAACTCGCACATCTAAGTTTCATATTTATTAATCAATTATGAATCTCACCCAAAATCAAGTAAACAAAATGTAATTAAATTATGGGTGTTGATTTTCTTCTTTTGCAGATGAAATCAACACTTTCTTACGGACTCATTGAATCTCGAGCTTTCTTATTTTTATTTTTTTGACTTTTTTAACTTGTGGACCCTATAACATTTTGTGAGTGCAGGAATGAGATTTTGTTTTTTTGTAAAAGGAGAAAAAAAATATTCCTTAAATTATATAGAACTATAAAATCAAAATCTCAATAATTGAAAATAATAATAAAAAATAAGAATAGTAGAAGATTACATATAAAATTATCACATACATATAACAGGTATGTCCATAGGTTGCATGAGCTTAAGCAGCTTAAGTCCTTCAATTTCAGGCATGTAAAGTTCACTGATTACAATGTCAAACTTGTTTTCTCTCAACATCCTCAGTACTGTCGTTGCATCTGTAGACGTTGTTACTGCAAAGTCCATAATTACAATAATTTTTATTCTTTATGAACAAAATGAAATATCGCAAATACAAGCATAACACAAAACCTATAAAAATTTCATTAGATGATTTCCATTAATAGGAAAGTAGTTACATCCTGCATTTGAAGCCAATAATTTAATTGAACACAACGTTTCACAAACAATATCAAAGAATGATAAAAATTAAAAAAAAAATTATTAATTAATAGTAACATTGACAGGACATAATGTAAAAAAAGAAGATATTAGACAGTAAAATGACTCAACTTCATTGATAATTTTACACAAATATATACAGCTGAGTAACAAAGAAATCAACAAAAGATTTGTTACGTTAAAAGCGAAACAGAAGAAACTAAAAGAATCAACTTGACAAATTTAATTTATTAAAAAGATGGAATAAAAAATGTTATAATTCCAAAAATAATACGACTAGACCAAAAAGAAACAAAAGTATACAATGAAAAGGCCACATCCACATTATTTTCAGACGAACTCAATCTTAAAAATTCAAATTTACAAAAAAAAATTTGTTATTATTCCAGTGATATGATGTCTGGAAAAAAGAAAAAGAAAACCCACATCCTAAATATTTTCAAAAGAAAAGAAAAGGAAAGAACACAACCAAAAAGCCACACCCTCAATATTGCCAAAATAATAAAGAAAAAGAAAGAAAGAAAAATATATTTATAAGAAGAAGGTTATACTTACAACTTTTTTTTTACAACCATATCTTAATACTGTTGATTTCCGTCAATCAACGGTTATAATTTTCGCAAATTAAACTCATTAATTAATGAGTTTAATTCACAATAAATGATAACCGTTGATTGACGGAAATCAACGGTGTTAAAATATGGTTGTAAGAGGTTGTAAAAAAGATAGTTGTAAGTATAACCCGATAGAAATATTTTAACCCTGAATCATGTATATCATTATAAAATACCAAATAATATGAAATTGAAGTTGAGATTGTGCGTATCTTATTGGATCGTCACAAAGCCGAAAGAAAGAAGGGACTACATGCCAGATCTTCCTCTCTAGCACCTATTTCCATAAAGGCAGCCTCAACGAGGGGAGCATGATGGCTTATGGAGTTTAACTCCAATATATATAGGTTAGAGAGGGGACCTAGCTAATAACCCAGAAAAGATTCTGTGTCCACTGGGTCCACCCATCATGGAAAACCAGAGTCACACTAAAGCCTACACTGCTGCCCAACTAGGCCCAATAACAACAGATGCTAGAAGCCCAATTCAATCTGATCACAATGGGCTAGTTACAATAACAATATTGGAATATCCATTAACCCGATTAATTTTAAATACAAAACTAATTAATTAATATTGCCCATAAAATAAATTTTTAACATTCTCCCACTTGGGCTATATTAATTAATGTAATATTATTTTGAAAATCATTTTATTTTGAAAACGACTCTATCGGGTTAATAACTAAAAATAATTTTACGTGGCCACAATTTTGAAAAACAATATTGCAATTCCAGCATCTCAACACAATTCAATCCAACATAACCTCATCATAGGAATATGGCGATCAATATACCAAAAATATCATGGCATATGACCTTCCATACTCACATACAATAAGTATTACATCTTCATGAATCAAGGCCTAGTAGCGTAGTAAGAATTAGTGCCAAAATGTGATCAACAATGTGACACACTAATTCTTATCGATCCTCAATGTAATTTCTCAACAACTTGAAATTACATTAGTGCAATTTCCAAGCAACATGAAATCACACTCTGTAATGCAACTTCTCAACAACATGAAATTGCATTACCACAATTTCTAAACAACATGAAATTGAATTAACACAATTTCCAAACGCCATGAAATTGATGAGATTGGATAAACCAATATGTCACAATACAACATGAGATCTCAAAATTTGTGACATCCAATCACCTTTAAGCTCACAACATGCTTAAAGATATTATTCCATACATATATTTCTCAGTCGACAGGAGAAATAATAATAATGATGATCATCAATTATGAAAATTCAAACAAATATCACAAAATAATTATCAGTTTGCATAGAAAAGTGACCAGAAAAACAAACTGAAAATGACTCCCACTAATCAAAGGAATCAAAAGAATATAAAATATTCAAAAGCAAGCCTTGAGTATTACTCCCACTAATTAATAAAATCAAAAGAATTTAAACTCATATTCTACACACGAAGGAAGCTACTCTAAGGTCTTTCTTATCAAAACTTTTAGATAAAAAGCTCTTGTTTTATTCAATAAATCAACATCTTACTAGCAAATAAAATGTCATCTACACAAAGTACTAAGAAAATATATTTACTCCCACTTACTTTCATGTAGATGAATCAATTAATGAGCATACACTGGCTTCAGAGATCTGTCCCCTTTGGGCAGATAGATCACCTAGACCAATGCACCTCCAATAATTTTATTACAGTTAAGCTTCTAATTAAAACACACAATAACCCCCTTTGGGCAGGAAACTGCATGAAATAACTAGAAGCACTCCTCAATAATTTTTTTTGTATGTAAACAGTTCAAGCGGAAGCATACAATCCAATAAACAAAATATTACAGCATGCAACACAGGTAGAGAGTACAAAATTATACAACAATATCAAATGAGAGCTAATTTTTCAATACATTTTGCACCAAAATATACCCAAAAATAAAATAAAATTCATAATTGATAGAATTTAACACAAGTTAATCTTTATCACCAAAAGTTATACACATAATGTAATAAATTAATCATGAGCAATAACAAAAATAATTAAATATCATAGACTCCCCTTTGGGCAGAGTATATAATATATAATTATTTTTCATCACATGAAGATTTAACAACGGAGAAAATTATATATAATTGTCTAAAATTTATCCCCTTTGGGCAGATAAATTTTATAAAGCCGAAAGAAAGAAGGGACTACATGCCAGATCTTCCTCTCTATCACCTATTTCCATAAAGGCAGCCTCAGCGATGGGAGCATGATGGCTTATGGAGTTTAACTCCAATATATATAGGTTAGAGAGGGGACCTAGCTAATAACCCAGAAAAGATTCTGTGTCCTCTGGTTCCATCCATCATGGAAAACCAGAGTCACACTAAAGCCTACACTGCTGCCCAATAACAACAGATGCTAGAAGCCCAATTCAATCTGATCACAATGGGTTAGTTACAATAACAATATTGGAATATCCATTAACCCGATTAATTTAAATACAAAACTAATTAATTAATATTGCCCATAAAATAAATTTCTAACATAACCTTCCTCATTTAGATTGGAATAAAGAAAAGCAACTAAAAACAGTAACAAAACTCATTGGGACCGTGGTATTGACAAGTCATATACTCAATCTTTACAAGCAAGAAACAACAGTACACAATCCTCAAATTTTTTTGTAAAAATAGAAAAGAAAGAGAGAGAGAGCAAAAGTAACACACCTTGGAATTGACACCTTCGGAGCATAGTCTTTAAATTGAAAAGGCTTTCTCGGTCGTTATCAACAGCAAGAACACGCATTCCTATCGGAAACGTGTCTCCTATATCATCATTGTTACCATCATTCACCATTGCCATTGTCTCCTTAGATACCACAAAGAGCAAGATGAATATTGACCGTTCCAGTAGTTATTATTCTGCCTTGTGCTTGTTTGATTGTTACTACAAATATATATAGGCTTACCTTACCTCCGTCTTATTCTCTCGGCGAATCTTTTATTTCCTTTTTATTCATTCTTACCATAAATATTTAATATTACAATCAATCTTTCTATAGATTTTTTATTTTCGAATCCTCCTTTCTTATTTTGCAATCATCATACTAAATCCCTGATAAATATTATGTTTAATTTAGCTACTAATTAAATTTATTATTTATAGTTATATACTAATTTTTATTAGCTTCAAATATATTAAAGTTTTTATTACGTAATGTGTATTTATAAAAATAATAATAATAATAATAATTGCGTGTGGATGGGATAGCTGAGTAATATATATTTTATTTTCTTCCGAAATTTTTTTATTTTAATTATGAAAAATATGAGACAGGCTTGGGTTGAGAATAAATTAGCTATATAACTAATAAAATTAAAGAGACTAAATATTAAAAAAATAAATATTAAAAAATAAAAATATAAGTAATAATAAGTCTTTTTACGGTGTGTGTGTGTCTATATATGAGATAGGATATTGTGACAACCAAAAAATGTTACTACCAATGTTACTACCACATCTTAATCGTTGATTTCCGCCAATCAACGGTTATCATTTATTGCGAATTAATAATTAATTAATGAGTTTGATTTGAAAAATGATAACCGTTGATTGACGGAAATCAACAGTTAAGATGTGGTAGTAACATTGATAGTAACATTATTTGGTTGTCACAATATCCTATATATCCCTATATATATAGAGAGAGAGAGATGAGGGATATTCTCACTGCCAAAGTTTTCCACCACCAACTTACTACCTATCTAATCACCATTAGATTAACATTTTCTCTTTCTTCAAAAACTTTTTAACATTCTCTCTCTTTGATCCAATGGTGATGTGATAGGTAGTAAGCTAGTAGTAAGAATTTTTGGTAGTTAAAATATCCTCACTCATTTATATATATATATATATATATATATATATATATATATATATATATATATATATAGATGGTTATACTTACTACTGAAAATTTTTATAACTCTTACTACTAAATTAATCATCATTGTTCACAAAAAAAAAAATTAACCATCATTAATTTCCACCAATTTAATGGTTATAGTTTATTGAGTACACTTATTAATTAATTTTTAATTACCAATAAATTATAAAGTGTTATGATTCTTCCCTGATTTATGAGAATCAAATAGGATTAGTTCCCATGATTAATTAAGATGGATTTTATAATTATTTAGCCTTCCTTTTATCGGTATATACCGTAATCGAACATATTTGATAAATCAATAAAAATAAAGCATTCTTCTATATATCACATGGATTTCACTGTTGTTAGTTGATTACCTTTATTTTAAAAAGTGATTTCTCAGAACCCCATTGCTTGCAGCAGTTTATCTTGAATTAAGTTAAAAGGTTTTTTTTTCACATGTACCCAAAAAAAAAAGTTAGAAGTTTTTGGAAAAAGAAAAAGGACAGTAAAATTTTATCACAGTGTACTATGCATACTGACATTTGGTGGAAAAAAGGAAGAACAACATATTTCGAATAAAAATGCAACAACAGTCTTTCATATTTCTATTCTTTATAAATTCTGTGGAAAAAACAAATTATGAAAAGAAAAATGAGATATAAATTCGGAAAACACTTTTAACTCACAACATAAAGAATTTGCCAAAATAATTTATATGTGTCAAAATCAGTGACAAGGGCTCAGCCAAAATTCAATATATCATCTTGAGAAAATAACTAGCAATTACTTTTTACTTCCCGACTAAATCGTTTGGAAAATGTTAAGATTTATCGAGTGACTCTGCAAAGTCAAGAACCAGTTACACCCTGGTCGAGGTACTGGGTCACTGAATCACCGGTTTAATCAGTGGATCACTGGTTCAACTGCATGACCCGGTAAGTATATGTAAATCTACAATTTATATAAAAAAAGTTATAAATATACTTAAATACTTGTAAAAATATATACCAATTTCAAATATTTTAATATGAAAATAATAAATTACACATAATTGTCCAACAAAAGATCAATCAAACATATAATATTTGTGATACTAGTGTTTCAAGTTCAGTAAACGTCATCTCTAACTATAAATCAAATCAAAATTCCCTGCATATTACATAATCAAGATAATATTAGTGTTGTAAGTACATAATCTATGTAAGTTAATAAGCTACAAATCACTCAAATATTTCAAAAGAAAACAAACTATTTCAACATTCCCGACACGTGGTCAACGCTCCGACATGTTTTTTTTTTTAGTCTTGATTTTATTTTATTAATTAAAAATAAAAAAAAATCATTTATAAATCAATTTTTTTCTGTTACGAAATTTGACATAAAAAGTTAACAAGGTATGATTTTTTTTTATATTTATGTTATGAAATTTGAATATTTGACTGATTATATGACTTATTATGACCTGTTATATGTATTAAATATAAATTATATTATATATTAAAATTATTATTTAATATCAACATGTGTCTCAACGTGTTGAAATATGCCATTTTTTAGAATTAACGTTTCAGTGTGTCGTGTCCCGTGTCTGGTGTCAGTGTTTGTGTATCATAGTTCATATATATACTAGTGAATTACCCGTGCGATACCCGGGGGAAAAAGAACAAAATCGTTGTCGCCGTCGTTGGTGTGTCGTCTTACTGGTAAATCCACATGTTGATCTTGATATGAAACTCTTAATAATAATATCATAATAAATAATAATTGTATTGTTATAATTTTTAACTTGAAAAGGCTGTAGCATTCAGAAAGATAAAAAAGTAAAATAAAATTTTGCAGATGAAACGTTTAATTGTATCGAGTAACCTTCACATCCAATTGCAAAAGTGATAAATAGAATAATGTCAATGTAAAAACAATTTAAATGTCATAATGTCAAAACTGCTCACAATTAATAATTCAGAAATAACATGATACAATTCGGTGTTCCAGCAAAATATCTCTGACATAAGCCTGCTAACTATAAAAGAAATAAAAACAGTATATGTTAGCATAACATATGATTTAGCGAATAAAGAACAGAAGAACTGAACAGGTAATTGTCAGAAGTATTATTCAATGTGGTTTTTTGCTTTTGAATTTCAGAATCATATTTTAAAAATACAGTATAAAAATAATCAAAATCCAACGCTAATCAACATTTGAAAAAAATATAACTTAAGGAATGCAGATTTTACCTGTATCAAAGAGCAACGTTATATCCAATCGACTGAAGCAATATAAATTACAGTAATCTCTGAAATACTTCTTTGTAGACTATGTTAAAGGTACTGTTTGTTACACAACCATCATCATCAACTATCAAAATCTTCAATCCCTTTTTGCTCTTTACTCGGGATAGTGCCACATATAATTGCCCATGACTAAAGACTGGCCTGGGTAGATAAATTCCAACATGAGAAAGCGATTGTCCTTGACTCTTATTGATTGTCATGGCAAACGAAACGACGAGGAGAAATTGTCTTCTTTGGAAATTTACAGGAAAAGAATGACTTGAGGAGCTCATTGTCATTCTAGGGATTAACAGATTTTCTCCTATATTGCTTCATGTAAGAACAGTTGCCTCAACCACATGATTGACTAATCTTGTAATAAGCAATCTTGTTCCATTGCATAAACCTCTTGATTGGTCAATATTTCTTAATAGCATGACTGGAACTTTGACCTTCAAAATTAATTTATGATCCAGAAGCCCAGAACAGGAGAAGGTATTTAAGATCTCAGGTGAGAATTCATCATCCTCAAGGGAAGAATTACCGTCTTGCTTCAAAATATTATCTGAACTTAAATATATTCTTTCGTCACCTGGAATCAAAGACATTAAGTTCTCATTTAAAATAGAAACATCTGCTAATTTTGGAGTCAGAATGGCACGTTCTTTAAAGAATGTGGGTTCTAAAATATGATCCAAGATATCAGGGTACACAAAATCCATCAAATCTGAAAGTGGATTCAGTGATTTTTTAATCAATAATTCATCTGGAATTGTTATAATAGATTCTCCATACACATCATCTCCAAGAACACCATCCCCGACTTTAAGAAGCCAATCAGAAAATTCCTTTATTTCCATTAAATTGTGAATGTCACTTCCAGAACTAAGCCGCATGTTCTTGGTCAAAGTTAATAAATGACGATGAGACCAAAGACAAGAAGAATTAATGGTTGCATGGACTATATCTTGTTTGCTTCCATGAGGAACAACAGGTAAGATTTGCCTGAAGTCACCCCCAAGAACAACAACTTTCCCACCAAATGGTTTATCAACACAACTTGAATCAGAAAATCTAAGAACATCTCTAAGTGTTTTGTCTAGAGCCTCAAAGCAAAATCTGTGTACCATTGGAGCTTCATCCCAGATGATTAGCTTTGTTTTCGCCAGCAATTCGGCAATATTAGAATCCTACCGTATATTACAGGTTGAATCCTCAGTGATCTGAATTGGAATACGAAATCTAAAGTGTGTTGTCCGGCCTCCAGGAAGCAAAAGTGATGCAATCCCGCTAGAAGCAACATTAAGTACAATTTCGCCTTTTGATCTAATGGATGCTGACAATGTATTCTAAATAAATGTTTTCCTGTACCACCAAAGCTGTATAGAAAAAAGAATCCCCCTATACCCACTGAAACTGCTGAAATTATCTTGTCATAGACAATTTTTGAAATTATCTGTAAGGGAACTCATTAGTCTTTTATGTTCTTCAACCAAAAACAATCTGTCATACAATAATTCATCAAGCACTAAGCGATTGTGCATATCAAGCAAAGATGCACCAGTGATGCAGGGCGTTGAAGGGTAATCAGAAAGGCATTTTCCATTACTCTGTAGCACTTTATCAATTTCAGCAAGTGTTGTGTTTTTTATTTGCTGCCGTACCTTTCAGTGCAAACCTTTCATGACTGTGTCGTCTCTTTCGCGAAGTAGTTTTCATTGCTGATAGATTACTACTCATTATGGGATGCAAAGGAAATAAACAAAAGGGTTTGCAAATGAAGAAGCAAAGTTGATATCAAAATATTAAAAAACAAATATTAAGGCCTTGGTACACTGTCAAAGTTCAACACATGATAATAGGCCACAAAATAAGGAAAATGTCAATAGCTCCTCGTTACAAAAAATCGACCAATCTACCGCTTTTATTGGCATTTATTAATTTGTTTGAAAATTTAAAAGTCCAACACACTAATTCGAAATTCAGGGGAGCATTAAAAATAACTTCAAACGAAACGTTTAATGCGCCACTTACCTTCACATTGGAATTGGTCATCTCATCTAATGAGTCAGCTGATTTAAAATTTTGAATTTTGAAATGGAATCTCTCACCTGTTTAATGATTCAGCTATTTTTACATTGAAATTATTAAATATTTTAAATATTTTAAAATACGAAAAAAAACGGAAAATTAATTTTTTATTCAATTAAGTTGTGGTGTAAAATTTTGAATTTTGAAATGGAATGACTCACCTATTTTAATGACTCAGCTGTTTTTACATTGGAATGATTAAATATTTTAGATATTTTAAAAAACAGAAAATTAATTTTTATTCAAATAATTTTTTTGATTTTTCTTTTAAAAATCAAAATTCAAGTTTAATTTCTAATAATTTAAAACAAATGTGGTAGCAGACAAACCATTTAATGCGCCACTTACCTTCACATTGGGATTGGTCATCTCATTTAATGAGTGAGCTGATTTAAAATTTTTAATTTTGAAATATAATCACTCACCTATTTTAATAACTCAGCTATTTTTACATTGGAATTATTAAATATTTTAAATATTTCAAAATACCAAAAAAACGGAAAATTAATTTTTTATTCAATTAATTTTTTCGATTTTTCTTTTAAAAATCGAAAAAAAAAATAATTTCTAATAATTAAAAACAAATGTGGTGGCAGAAAAATCATTTAATGCGCCGCATACCTTCACATTGGAATTGGTCATCTCATTTAATGAGTCAGCTGATTTAAAATTTCTAATAATTTAAAACAAATGAGGTGGCAGACAAAACATTTAATGCGCCACTTACCTTCACATTGGAATTGGTCATCTCATCTAATGAGTCAGCTGATTTAAAATTTTTAAATGGAATCACTCACCTGTTTTAATGACTCAGCTGTTTTTACATTGGAATTATTAAATATTTTAAAATACAAAAAAAAACGGACAATTAATTTTTTATTCAATTAATTTTTTCGATTTTTCTTTTAAAAATCAAAAATCAATTTTAATTTCTAATAATTTAAAACAGATGCGGTGGAAGACAAAGCATTTAATGTGCCACTTACCTTCACATTGAAGTTGGTCATCTCATTTAATGAGTCAGCTGATTTAAAATTTCTAATAATTTAAAACAAATGAGGTGGCAGACAAAACATTTAATGCGCCACTTACCTTCACATTGGAATTGGTCATCTCATCTAATGAGTCAGCTGATTTAAAATTTTGAATTTTGAAATGGAATGACTCACCTGTTTTAATGACTCAGCTGTTTTTACATTGGAATTATTAAATATTTTAAAATACAAAAAAAACAGACAATTAATTTTTTATTCAATTAATTTTTTTGATTTTTCTTTTAAAAATTGAAAATCAATTTTAATTTCTAATAATTTAAAACAAATGTGGTGGCAGACAAAGCATTTAATGTGCCACTTACCTTCACATTGAAATTGGTCATCTCATTTAATGAGTCAGCTGATTTAAAATTTCTAATAATTTAAAACAAATGAGTTGGCAGACAAAACATTTAATGCGCCACTTACCTTCACATTGCAATTGGTCATCTCATCTAATGAGTCAGCTGATTTAAAATTTTGAATTTTGAAATGGAATCACTCACCTGTTTTAATGACTTAGCTGTTTTTACATTGGAATTATTAAATATTTTAAAATACAAAAAAAAACAGACAATTAATTTTTTATTCAATTAAGTTTTTTGATTTTTCTTTTAAAAATTGAAAATCAATTTTAATTTCTAATAATTTAAAACAAATGTGGTGGCAGACAAAGCATTTAATGTGCCACTTACCTTCACAATGAAATTGGTTATCTCATTTAATGAGTCAGCTGATTTAAAATTTCTAATAATTTAAAACAAATGAGTTGGCAGACAAAACATTTAATGCGCCACTTACCTTCACATTGGGATTGGTTATCTCATCTGTGCTGATTTAAAATTTTGAATTTTGAAATGGAATCACTCACCTGTTTTAATGATTCAGCTGTTTTTACATTGGAATTACTAAATATTTTAAATATTTTAAAATACGGAAAAAAACGAAAAATTAATTTTTTATTCAAATAATTTTTTTGATTTATCTTTTAAAAATCAGAAATCAATTTTAATTTCTAATAATTTAAAACAAATGTGGTGGCAGACAAATCATTTAATGCGCCACATACTTTCACATTGGAATTGGTCATCTCATTTAATGAGTCAGCTGATTTAAAATTTCTAATAATTTAAGACAAATAAGGTGGTAGACAAAACATTTAATGCGCCACTTACCTTCATATTGGAATTGGTCATCGCATCTAATGAGTCAGCTGACACTCACCTGTTTTAATGTTTAAGCTGTTTTTACATTGGCATTATTAAATATTTTAAATATTATAAATTAATTTTTTATTCAATTACTTTTAAGTTTTTTTTTGCAAACTTTGGTAAAAATGAAGAAGCGAAGTTGATATCAAAATATTAAAAAACAAATATTAAGGCCTTGGTACACTGTCAAAGTTCAAAACATGATAATAGGCTACAGAATAAGGAAAATGTCAATAGCTCCTCGTTAAAAAAATCGACCAATCTACCGCTTTTATTGGCATTTATTAATTTGTTTAAAAATTTAAAAGTCCATCACACTAATTCGAAATTCAGGGGAGCATTAAAAATAACTTCAAACGAAACGTCAAGCAATTACTAATAATGAAATTAATTGTTAACAATTGGTGTAATGGGGAATTTCAAATGACATCCCTAAAACTGAAACACGTCGTACTAAAGAAATTCACACGTCGTACTAAAGCTGATAACAAAATATTAAAAAAAAAAAATTTTGCAAACTTTGTTAAAAATGAAGAAGCGAAGTTGATATCAAAATATTTAAAAACAAATATTAAGGCCTTGGTACACTGTCAAAGTTCAACACATGATAATAGGCAACAGAATAAGGAAAATGTCAATAGCTCCTCGTTACAAAAAATCGACCAAAGCATAGTTACAGATTTTCTTTCTGCTCCAAAGTGTCACCGGCTGCAGCATCAAAACTGTGCCAAAAATAAACAAAAAGGCACACAGAGTGAGAGGGATGAAATTATAAATCACGTAAACTTTATAATATCTATAGTCATAACTTAACTCTTTCTCTAGCTTTATTTTTTTAAGAGGACGGACAACTCAACAATTATTTTTATCTTCAACAACATCACCATACTTCATAGACGGTGACAACAAAGTGAGAGAAATATCAGCATCATCAGTACTATCACAGGTTTGGCTCTGAACATCCTGTCAACAAAATGACTCTGACCGCTATTAATATAAGGATATGACAATCAAATTTTCCAATTATGTCAATAATACCAACTCACCGCAGCTTTTCCTGACCCTATCGACATAATATTATCATCAGAAGGACCGTCAAATACAGAATCATCTTGAAATGTTTTTTCCACAAACGCAAAAAAGTCATAACTTTGAAAAGTATAGGTTATGAATAATAATAAAAAAAACAAACATTTGGGTCCACTGTGGTCTTCAGAAATGATGTGATAATACTCTCACTGATGCAAACTTTGGCCACATGATATTTTGGCTCACTGTATGAGTTCAAATTGCTAATTTTGACATTCACTTTAAACAACATAGATCTATCTTTAAGAACGTTCAACTCTTCCGGATAATGTTCTAAATCTGCACCCTACAAAAAAGGAAACACAGCAAAAGAAGTACTAAGGGTGTTAAAAGTTTTGAGAACCTCACTAATAAAAAAATTCAAAGTTTTGAGAACCAAACCCGCTTAAAATGTTGCTCGCGCAATTCAGCAGCACTCACTCCTAATAAAGAAAGACAGTCTCTATCAAATAGTACGAAAGAAGCAGAATCCGTGTTATCAACAACTCTGACTTGAACACTAAACCTAAAAAAATAAAAAATTGAATTTTACATTAGTCACACAGTGTGCATGAATAATTTTTCGATAACAATGGCAAATCAAAAAAAGGCTTACTTCGGAGTATATTCATTCCAATGTTTCTGACAGTTCTTACAATACCATTTCTCAAAATCTTCGCACACTGAATATGGACATTCTTTACAGGACTTGTACCACCAGTTGTATTTACTTTCAATGGATTTTACAATTCCATAAGTAATGCAAGTAGTAGCATCTATGCAATTCTTAATATCAGTAAGAAATTTCCTCTATGTATCCTTGAGAAAATCATTTTCATAAGAATATGAAGATGGGCTGGACAACTGAGTCAACATCTGACTACTTTCCATCAGATCACCGGAAACCCTGGAATATAAAATATATAAAAGAATGAGTGAATAGAGCAAAAGAAATGCCTCATAATTTCTCACGGTAGCCCACCTTTTTTTGAACTCTACGATCTCAGGTATATTGGAATCAAAAAGAATTTTCGTCGTATACTTTGTATTAGCTATTCCAATCTTTCCTGGGGGAAAAAAATGCTACGTAAATAAAAGAAAAAGTAAAACAGCAAAACAAAAAAATAAAAAATGAGAATTTTAATCACAAAAAAAGTACCCCTAAAACCCTTTATCCTTGCAAGCTGAAGTATTATAACATTTTGAGCACTCTGATTCTTTGCTAAGAAAGTTTGGACCTCGTCTACGTATGACTCCCTCAAAGTGCATTCAAGTTTCTGACCCCTATCATGATATAGAAACAAAAGGCACATAAGAAATGATGTAAAATCCCATTCTCTTTAAATTCAAAAACACATAAGAAATTACATTACAATACTATCAGAAATATAGATAACATAAATACCTCAGGTTGTCAAGCTCCACGACAACCATTTTTGTATTCCTACCAGAGATGACATGTTCACGTACTTCCCCAATTCCAGACAGCAAACCAATGACGTCTACACAACAAATAACATGGGTTTCAGCCTTACGTCCTATATACAAAATCTTAATTGAAAGCGCATAACACAATACACCAATCCCATCACCTATTAAATAAGGAGAGTCAGAGGATTCTTTCTCAATAACGTCAAACTCAGCAAAATCAAAACCACGCTCAGGAATCTTAGCATCAACAATGGATTTCACGTCCGTCCTCAAGTTGAAAGACAGATGATATTCATGTCGTGTTGGCCTGAAATTACCCGTATTCAACCCAACTCCAAAAATTTTTATAAAATAAGCATCACCCTCACGAATTTTCTTCTGAAACTACAAAGTACCCTTGGCCGTAACATGGATCCTTCCACCCTATAAAATGAAAACACGCAACAACAACAACAACAACAACAAAACTGACAATGAGCTACTGAAAAGATAAAAACATTGAAAAAAAGAAAAAATACATTACCCGTTCGTCGACCAAAACCATATCCACATTGTCATCAAAATCTTTTTGATTAAAACTGGGAACCTTCCAATATCTAACTACACGCACTTTAATCCTCCATTCTTCTTTCGTCGGATTAAGATCCTTTACGAAGTCGTATTTTGAGGACATTGAATACATTGGAGGAGTAGAGAAATGGACCACAGAAGATACAAAATGCTCGTGGCAGTGATGTAGACCAAAAGGCAAAAGCAACACCAAATATCGTCTTTATACATGCAATGAATACATAGAAAATTTCAAAACATTTTAACCGTTATGATCTTAATTAACTCCCAAAAATACATAATGAGTCAGCTGATTTAAAATTTTGAATTTTGAAATGAAATCACTCACCTGTTTTAATGATTCAGCTATTTTTACATTAAAACGGAAAGAATCCTCTAGTGTGAACAGAAATTCAAACATATATATTTTGTTCACTATATCGAAAAGAAGTAAGTTTTCAAGACATCCTCTAGTGTGAACAGAAAGCTGAGATTTAAGGAGAATGCGACACCTCAGCTAATTTTCAAAAGTTTTTTTTACATTAAAACGGAAAGAATCCTCTAGTGTGAACAGAAATTCAAACATACATATTTTGTTCACTACATGGAAAAGAAGTAAGTTTTCAAGACATCCTCTAGTGTGAACAGAAAGCTGAGATTTAAGGAGAATGCGACACCTCAGCTAATTTTCAAAAGTTTGGTTCTCCTTTCTATATAGTAAGATGTCTGTGCTTTAGAGCATGTACAAAATGACGTGGCTTATTTTATTTTTTTTTAAATTTTAACAAGCAAGACATTGGATTTGCATTTCAGATTGTTCGCAAAGCGATATTTTAAGCAGATTAATTCGTTAGAAGAAGAAAATTATTATTATTACTTTTTTTTAAATAAAAAATAAGATGATAAATTTTGGAATCTTCACACTCCGGAATAGGGATGTAAATGGGCTAGGTCGGCCTACAGGGGCCTACGGCCTAGCTTATATTAGGCTCAGTTTGGCTAACTATAAATAGTAAAATAAAACAGACCTAGGCTTTTAAAAAAATCTATTTAGAAAACATGTCATAGGCTTTTTGGGTACATGTCGGGTCTATAAACTTACAGGCCGGCCTATATCATATTATTTATTTAATATATAATAAATAAAATTATTATTTTAATAATTTTAAATTATAAAATAATATTATTTTAGTTATTCTTTTAATCGTTGAATGTTTAATAGGCTTAAACAGGCTAACAGACCTAGGCCAAGGTTTTTATTTTTTAAATATAGGTCAACCCAGACTTGTAATTTGGGGACTACTATCTGGTCTATTTAAGTCAAAGCCTAATCTAGCCTATTTACACCCTTATTCTGAAAACATTTGTTACGAGAATTATTTTTGTTTATATCTTCCTTTTGTTTGTGAGTTTTAAGGGAATTGGAGATTTTTACAAAAAGAGTAAATACCATTTTGGGTCCCTAACAAAAAACACGGTCCCCATTTTAGTCCCTTACAAAAATAAATTAGTCAGTTAGTCCCTAACAAATTCAAAGTGGACCCATTTTAGTCCTTTTGAGGGACTAATATGGGTCTTTTTTGAATTTGTGAGGGACCACGATTTCAACTAAATGAGTCTACTTTGAATTTGTTAGGGACTAACTAACTAATTTATTTTTGTAAGGGACTGAAGTGGGGACCATATATTTTGTTAGGGAACAAAAAGGGTATTTACTCTTAAAAAAATTTCCAAAACCCTTCTTAACCTTCTTCTACCTAATTCTAGATCGAACCTTAAAAACTTTCGTCGACAAACTGAAAGAAAAAGAAACGGTTTAAGCTAGTATTTCGTCGACAAACATATTTTGTTTGACGGTAAATTACTTTTAGTTTCTTTTCTCAACATTTTTATCAGGTTGTAACATTCTCTCAACATTTTTCTTCCAACGATTTTTCTTACGCATCTTGATTGATCAAATATTTCTCATCACTTGGTTCGCATTTCATTACTCACTTTTTTTTTCTTTTCTTTTTAAGTCAAATACGTAGACATAGCGTAAAATTAAACATGTCCTCAAGTGCAAACCCAATCAACAATTGAATAACGACTAACTTGGGAAACTAACTTTGCTGGAGATTCAACTATATCCATATTGTTAGAAATATTGTATTTAGGTTTTCCTTATTTTGTAATTAGGGTTTTCTTATTTTGTATTAAGTCAGATTACATTAGGTTTGAGCTTAGCCCATTAGTTTGCTTATATATTGTACATCCCTCATTCGTTAAATACACACAGAAATATGTCAAATGTTCCTCTCTTTTCTCTTGTTATTTAACATGGTATCAAGAGCCTAAGAAACTTTGAAAAAAAAATTTCGGTGAACCCACTGTTCATCGTTGTTTATTTTTTTTTCCGGAGCTGTCTCATTGTCAGTTTCCGGACGCTTCTCTCTCCGCATACAGCTTCTGTCTCGTCCAGAACCACCGTCCGGTCACCGTTTTCGGCGATCCACATACCGCCGTGATCATCTCCGCCGCACGGTTCCAACGCCACCGGTCTCATCCAGTTTCAAGGCCACACGCGACCTCACGCGCGCGTGGAAGGTCTGCCACTCTCCTCCACTCCGGCGGCGCGTGGCAGCTCCTCTGTGGCCGCGGCTGGTTGCGATCTTCTCATCTCGGTGTGTAGGTTCTAGATCTGGTCTTGTTTTGGTGTTTGGACCTCTTTTTGTGTTGACGCACAGATCCCTCTTCTACCGGTTAGTTTTTGACCTGTGCTTTATGCTTTTTTATTATGGTCACTCCTTTCTCCAATGTTTCTGTTTCTGGGACTCCGGCTGGACAAAAGTCGGAGTCTACTATTTTCTCAAATTATATCCTTGCTCCGTTGAGTGTGGATAAATTGGATGGGTCCAATTATGATACTTGGTCTTCCAATCTGCGACTCTGGTTGGATGGGCAGAATTACACATCCCATCTCACCACTAAGGTTGAATTTGTGGCGGAAAATGAGCGCACACGATGGAAGATGATTGATGCTCAGTTGTGTAGTCTCATTAAAGCTACTCTTCATCCGTCTATCAAATAGATTTTTCGACCTGTTGTTACCTGTGAAGCTATTTGGAGTCAGGCAAAGGCATTATACACCAATGATACCCAGAGACTCTATTGTGTGTGTCAGAAATTGATGACTACCTTTGCTCCTAGGGACTTTAACTGTCCTATGACTGAATATTTGGGGAAATCTCAGAGTCTACTCCGTGATCTTAATGAACTTTTGCCTCTCACTGGTGATGTTGCTAAGGAACAGGAACAACGTAATACACTGTTTATGTTGTTCATTTTATATGGTTTTCCTGATCATTTGTCTGCCAATCAGGATCAAATTTTGGGATCTGCTATAGTTCCTACACTTGATTCCGTGATGTCTACCTTGCTTAGAATTCCCTCTAAGCCCTCTACGTCATCAGCACCTCCTATGATGCATATACCCCCAGCGAATTCTGTTGACTCTTCCGCTCTTGCTGCTCAAAGGTATGGTCATGGACGTAGAGAAGACTTTGTTGACTCTTCCGCTTTTGCTGGTCAAGGATATGGTCGTGGACGTCGAGATGATTCTGTTGACCCCTATGCTTTTGCTGTTCAAGGATATGGTCGTGGACGTCGATTCTCTAAAGGCAAGCTCTCATGCACTCATTGTCATCAGACCAATCATACTCTTGACCGCTGTTGGGAGCTTCATGGCTGGCCACCTCCACCTTCTCGGAATGCTCATGTTGCTCAGGCTTTCTCTAGTACCTCTGCTCCAGAGTTACCTTCCAGTGCACAACCTCCAGCTGCTCTTTTGAATGAATTTGCGACTTGGTGGTCTGAAAAGCAATCATCAGGTCCTACTGCATCCATTGCTCCCTCTGGTAATTCTTTTGCTGGCATTTCTCAGTTGCACTCTATAGGCCCTTGGACTCTTGATTCTGGGGCTTCTGATCACATTTCTGGTAATAAGTCCTTATTCACTTCTCTTTGTACTACTGGTTCTTTTCCCACAATTACTATGGCCAATGGGTCTCTGGTCCAATCAAAGGGGATTGGCACAGTTCTTCTTTTACCTAATTTATCTCTGGATCATGTTCTATATGTGCCCGATTCTCCTTTTAACTTACTTTTTGTTAGTTGTTTAACAAAATCCATTGACTGTGTTGTTTCTTTTACTAAAACCTCTGTCATCTTTCAGGATCGGAGTTCGGGGAAGGAGATTACCAAAGGATGTGAGTCTCAAGGCCTCTATCAACTAGTTCCCTCTTCTTCAGCCTGCTCCTCTTACTATCCATGCTCGTCTGGGTCATCCGAGTCTTGCAAAGCTTCAGAAGATGGTTCCCCATTTATCGTCTCTTTCTACTTTAAATTGTGAGTCTTGTTAGTTTGGGAAACATACTCGTAGTGCGTTTCCAAGTCGTCTTAGTCGTCAAGCTGTTTCTCCTTTTTTGTGGTCCACTCTGATGTTTCGGGACCAAGTCGTCATTCTTCTACTTTGGGTTTTAAGTACTTTGTTACTTTTATTGATGATTATTCCTGATGTACTTGGTTATTTGTAATGAAAAAGAGATCTTATTTGTTTTCTATTTTTCAGTTATTTTATAATGAAATAAAAACTCAGTTTGGTATTCCTATTCGTACTTTTCAACAATTCTTTTCATCTCATGGAATTTTTCATCAAACATATTGCCCTCATACACCTCAACAAAATGGTGTAGCTGAGCGCAAGAATCGCCATCTGGTTGAAACCACTCGTGCCTTGTTAATTGATGGTAATGTTCCATACACATTCTGGGGTGATGCTATACTTACTGCATGCTATCTCATTAATCGCATGCCATCATATGTTCTCAATCATAAGGTACCTCACTTTATTTTATTCCCCCATCAGACTTTATATCTTTTAACTCCATATGTGTTTGGTTCTACGTGTTTTGTTCATCATCTTGGTCCAGGTTTGGATAAATTGGCTCCCAAGTCTCATAAATGTGTTTTTCTGGGTTATCCTCGGTCTCAGAAGGGTTACCGTTGCTACTCTCCCACTTTACGTCGGTACTTTATCTCGGCGGATGTCTCCTTCTTTGAATCGGTTCCCTTTTTTGGACCATC